CAGAGGCGTCACTGAACCTATATTGCGCTATAGCGCCCTCCCTTACAATTTTTTGCCGCGAAACCGGTACAAGGTTGTTCGCCGCGGACCACACTACCCTCCCGACGCCATATTCCAACTTCTATACCTGATCGCGGACGGAGCCTTTAAATCATTTGTTGACTTCAATTGATCTGTACCAATTTTGGGTGTCTCGAAATTCCCGGCAGATGGTTCAGGAGCCTTAAGCGAGTTCTTGTTTGTTTGTTTACATGCAGACAGTGCGTCCACAAATAAACAGAGTACCCAAATAAATGCTTCAACCAATTTCTTCTAGCTTTTGCTATGGTTTAATGATATTTCTGCCAAGGTTACCTTAGATTAAAGAGCACAGAGGCTTGGACCGCTCACGTACCTACTCGGCTTGATAGATGGTGTTCTTCCCAGGTTTCCTAAGTATTGTTTGCTTTTAGTAGCGGTTAATAAAAATTGATGACAGACCCAAGAGGAGGAAAACATTGCGACTGGAACTTTGATGAGAGCTTTGATTCCTACAGCTCATTAAAATGTTTTCACTAGTCCGACAATACATTGGATGCATGACGTCTAAGGGAAAGTAGCGGGTAGGCAATTGCTCACTGAGCTTCAATAATGAGAGCAGAATTTTTCTTCTCAGGATGTAATTATACGCAGATAAGGCTTTATTCACTAATTTTTCGCCGAATGTCCGCAGGTTCTACTGTACTTTGCAAAAAGTTACTTCATGATCTCGCATGTATCGCCGACCGACGATCCTTGCATTACCTTGAAGACGGTCCCACACTAGGCGTCCTTCCATATGCATGTAGTCTGTCCCCCATTCTCTAAGGCTGTGTCACTTTCGCGGCCTCACAGGAAGTGACGAAGGCGCAGCGGCCCTCAAATGTGGCAGTCCTAACGCCTCCCTAGTTGCCCCGCCCACAAAAGCTTAAGGGCTGTTTTATATCACAAATTCAGTTTTTCCACAGCATTTTCGTTTTTTCTTCTTAGATGATATTAGCCTTGGATGATGTGAAGAAACGAGTGAGCCGTAGATGGCAGGACATCGCGTAAAACGAGCAGGTACGGACAATCCGTACGGTGACGCTGCCAGCGGGCCCTTACGATGTTCTCAACGATTTTTATTGCTTTTTTCTTCTTTCGTGGAAAGTCACTTGGCGACTAGTCCGTTATTATATGCCACTACCTACAGTAGGCAGCCGCGGGTTTGTCCTCCAAAGACCGTAGGTCCTGCAAACCACCAAAGGAGGAGGGCCAAGAGAGGGTGTACTTCTGAGCTTTTTGCTGATGTTGATACAATATTTTCCGCCTCACATGCGCTGTACCCCTACCCTTTGGTTGTATCAAAACTAGTGGAATTTGGGAAAAGACGGTAGGAGGTATAGTAGGTTGCGAAGGGGGGGGGTTGTACCGAGGGTATGATATTTACCGAAATTTACCACAATGTAAGTTTGCCTTGCCTGGTCCATTTCTAAAAGGTTCTTGGATATGAGGAGGGCCAACATTCATGAGCTAGTCACCCCGTTCCACCATTAATTGCTAACTTCAGGTATACTAGTCTAGAGGTCTAAAAAGGGCCTTCCTTAACTGTGAGGGTCTCCCTTACCATTACACGTGCGGCAGTGGGGAGCAGAAAAAAAGTTTAGGAAACGAGCGTCTTTAAAGTACTAGGTCCAATACTTTGTGATCCTACTGAACTTTGGATCTTGCCTCGTGCGAGAAATACCTTTGATGGCTTCCACATGGGCAAATTCGATGGCATGCGAGTTTTTATACCGTGAGCGATGATAGCTTTCTTCACCTTCGCCACCATATAGAAACAAGGCCAAAATCCGGAGATCACCGGATTTCTCTAGGCTGCGTTCATACTTTGCGACAGCGTTCACTAGCGACCACTAGCGTTCCGAGCTTCCGGCTTCACGACTAGGAAAGCATAGATATTGATCCAGCGTCTGCCAGCGTCCATTAGCGACTGGGAGCGGAGAGCATGGGGAAAGAGGAGAGAAGCAAACAGCGGGATTAGCCGTCATGATTGCGGCGTGTGCAACTCACCGTACAACTAACCGTACATTAAATTGCGTAATTCTGTGTTTTAGTCGCTGTGCGGTGCTGTTGCCCATGTTCGCAATTTCACGACGCCTAATGCAGCTGTTTACTACCTACCTACTTCCCCATACTGTGTACTCCCGATCGCTGGCAGACGCTAGATCGATATCTGTAGTTCTCTAGTCCTTCACGTTGCCGGACGTTTGAAACGCTGGTGGACGCTGGTAGACGCTGCCGCAAAGTATGAACGCAGCCTTACGCACCTCCGGCAGAGCTACGTTCAGTCACACTACGTTCCTTCACAATGGCGACCTTATTTACACCGAACAAAGTTGTAGTGTTTTCAGTTTTATAACTAGAATTAAATATGAAAGAATGTAAATGGTTGCAAAAATGAAGGAGAGCTGTTAGGTATAATAAAGCTGATTCAACGAGATCCTCAAATTGCTGCACGCCTGGCATCATCCACGAGCATTTCTCCGACAGGGTTGTATATTTGATGGTCCGTAAGTGGGGGTGATAGCGGTGCAGGTACGATTCTCTGTGCACCAGATCCTGCCTCCACGTCTGAAATGTGGTATTGCATTGAAGGATAACAATTCGTAGGAAATGTAGATGAAAGGAAGGGCGGGCATGAGAAACATGGGAGACGGACAAAACAATCGTATCTGCGGCGCCGCGCGCGGCGTTGCGCGGCAGTACGCGGCAAATCCTGTGCGTGGCAGTACGCGGCAATGATGAGCATGCGTGTATCTGAAGTAGCGAAACTCATGGGAATTGAGGAGTATGCAAGACCCCATCAAGTGATATCGGTCCTTCTTGTCCCTTTAACATTCATTCAAACAGCCGAGCAGGGCAACTCGTCCTCCTCGTGAACGGCGTTGCTGGCCACGCCGTTGTCTTGTCACATAGCCAAGAGCCATAGCCAGTAAGATGCTGCGGTGGTTTGAGATTTGCTCATTAGGAGTGGGCAATGCAAAGCGATGGAACCCACAGAACACTCTTCCGGGCTCCTTGTCCTGTCGTATTTTATCGAGTTCATCTGCCAGTTTAACTCTGAAATAGGCAAGAAGAATGATTTGATGCTCAGAATTAACCGGCGTAAACTCACCTGTAATGAAGTTTCATGCCATACAAGATCATACCCAGAATCATCATGAAGAACATCACGAACATCATGTAGTAGAGAAGCGCTCGATTAACAGAATCATTCGTATGTTCTGGAAATAGTCGTTACTGACACAGCGATTCGTTTATCACAAGCATGCTGGGCTGTGGGCAAAAGTCGTGCCCCACGCGGGAGTCAAACTCGCACCTCACGCTTTCCGGGCGAGTGCGCTATCTGTTACGCGCACTCGCCGGGAACGCGTGAGGTGCGGGTTCGACTCCCGCCTGGGGCACGACTTTTGCCCACAACTCAGCATTCTTGTGATAACATTCGGAACGCGTACTGCGGCGTTAAACAGCAGTTATCATAACAAAACAGATTCGTTTATCGTTTTTATTAAGTATCACTCAGGAAGGTGCATATACGACAAGAAAATCGCAGTCAGAGAACGTCCTACCCTAGTTTTCGGAACAGTACAGTCCTCATCATTGCGGACCGGTGGGGGCGTGGCAGTGCGGCTGCATTTGGTGCGGTTTGGCAAAGTCGTTCTGCACCAGTTTTTGAAGCGAACAAGTGCATTACTGTATAATATCCTTCGTATTACTCGTTTTCTACCACTTTTTGTCGCATACGCGTTGCAACAAAAGGCTGAGAACGGCTTCAACAGTGTGCGCACTCCTTCTGGCTGACACGCCCCACCGGTCCGCAATGATGAGGAACTGTACGCTCCCCCCCCCTAGCTCCCTCCTATAATGCGACCTCCCACTCCCCAGCCTACCTAGCACTTCCCTGAAATTCCCGACTTGTTCATACATCTTCCAGTATTTCTGGGATTTCGAGAAAGTTTTCCAGTTTCCCACCAAGTTTTCTTGTGAGGCGGGCGAGGGGGGGGGGAGAAGACAGGAAAAAAACTGCAGAAAGCTCAACAATTCGGTAAACAGCTTCCTCGAAAACTGTAATGGCCATCCACCTATCCCAGCGACCAATACGATCCTCCCCATCCCCTGTCAGCGGATTCCCGCGTAGACGTGGTTTGTCGGTAGCTTCCTGGGTCTCCTCCCAAACTTCCTCAAAACTCTACCGTTCTCGAAGAAAGTCCAAAACTTTTCCCCATAGAGCTAATGTTGAGCAAGGAGGGGTGGGTGTTTTATAGCATACGTGAAAAGAAAAAACGAAACCAATTTTCTCAAGGGGAATAATGGCCATACCCCCCCCCCCAGCGACGATAGTACATTCCCCCTCCCCTCATAGCGTAAATAAACAAGAGAATCAACTATCAAGAACTATTTTCTCAGACTAAATGAGGCGTCCCTCCCCCAGCAAGCAAATACGTCCCTGCTGGGAATTCACCAGCCTGAGGCGTAGTCTGGTCGAATATGCCGCGCTGGTGGGCGCGGCGAGCGATGCCGCGCCCAATGGATGAGTGATCCTGCCTGGCAGACAGGATATGAATGTCAAAGGGCTGGGAAAATTGTATAGGCCCAAAGAGTCGTGGAGTCATGCCTTCGTTTGATTTCATATGAGTTTCGCTGCTCCACTCGACAAACCGATGTGTACCGAGAACTTGCCGCGCATGACAGCACGACACGCTGCGTGCGGCTGTGCTAGAAATTACGGTTGTCTTTTCCGTCTTCTCTCTCTCTCTCCTCAGGACACATCATTCTGCTCAGGAGAATATGCGACACCCTCCTGTCAACTGAAATATGATCCCCTTCCCCATGCAGAGAAAAATTCAGCGACGGATGCACTGATCGCCCAACTGCCAGTTCTCCGTTCAGAACTTTCAAGAGCTCTAAAATACTTCATGTCATGTTAACCCATGTCATGTTTTCCTTAGCACATCCCTTTAGCCCTTTCGGGCACCATGGTCCACTCACTGCGCTTGCCTCTCTAACAATCCCATGGTATATCTGTCCGAAAATGTTGATGGGTTCACGATTCTGCACAACACGGTTCCGAACATGATCTTGACGAGCATCCGGTCGTGACGAAGTGCTGGAGCGCTGGTGGTGAGACCCTGTGTGAGGTCGGCCTTCGACGAGGCCGTGAATGAAGAACGGTCCGGTATGGTCCAACAGCTAGCTTCATAGCGGTCTCGAAGATCGGTCTGGGTCACGATGGCTGTTCTATTCATTCTATTATTCTAGTTTATTTGCATTCTAAGAGAAAATTGCGGCTTTGAGAAAAATTTTTTGCCGGTTGTTGACTTTTCGCGGTTTTTCCCATTTCACTTGTGCTATATCCCTCGACAGCTCGATCCACATCATCGTTCCCCTATAGGAGGGGGGGGGTCGTGTATGGTCTGAGAAAAAGTTTTTTGGTAGTTGTTTTTGGTGTCAGGACGCTTCAGGGGGGGGGGTGGGGAGAGAAGGTAGACGCTGCCGCAAAGTATGAACGCAGCCTATGCTGAGTAGGGATCAGTGTTGAGTGCCACCCCAAATCGAAAGCGAACTTTTGTCAATAGCTCGAAAAGAAGCGATGGAAGTGTTGCTCACCAGCGAATTCTCTATCGTCGTACTGATAGCTCTGCGCAACCATCTTGATAACGGCGGATGTTCACCAACAACTAACTCTTGACAGCTTTTAGCAAAACTGAGTCGTAATTCGAGCAGCCTTTTTCCCTTATCAGAAGATCTGGGCAATCGTAAACAAGCAACTGGCATTGCGCTCATTTCATCATCATAGGGCCTTAATTCTCCCTTTCGCGTACGCCATCATTTGGGATCCTCTTATGGCTAGATCGCCTGTACTAAATGAGTTTGCTGCTCATGTACAGTTGCGGGTGTCACCACCATTTCAACCATCCCATGATGCTCATTGCTCTAAATTGTACTTACGGCTTTTTCCGCGCAGAAATCCACACATGCTGCAAGTCGATGGGACTACGTTGCATGTCGCAGGATGGAGCCATAGGTGCATCATGTAAGGCAACGTAAATTGTGCGGCATTCACACCAGGACCTAACTGATTAGAGGAAGCATTTAGACTTTGCGATGACGCGAGACCTAATGCGCTGTAACGCGCGCGCGCCACAATAGCAATAGCGCTCAAAAGCTATAGACACGGACGCACTTGGAGGAAGACGATCGATTCCCGTCTACGAACGCTCGATCAATGGACACCGGTTTCGAAAGAGTGTGAGGGAATAGGATGCTAGATGTTGCCTGGTCATGCAGGCTGGTATTGATCGGGACCGGAAGCTCGCGTCCATAGTTGTGGAGCGCTATTGTAGTTGTAGCGCGTCGTCGCGCGTTACAGCGTATTACAGCGCTGCGCGCGTCATCGCGAAGTATGCACGCTGCTTCATGTGGATGAGCTGTACCATGTCTGGCATGTCTAGCTGACTAGCAATGAAATACTCTGCTACTTTGTACGCTCCATCGTACTATGGAAGTAGCGTCCCACGCTCCTGACGCGCACACCTCTGCCTTTAAAGTGTAAGGCGCAACTAGGCTGGTGGGAGCATTTTACTAATTTGCAGCGATAACTGTGGATGCCTCCTGTAGACCGGTAAACTCCTGAAGTTATGCAATAGCATGAGTTTCGTTAACACTCAGAAAGCAAGCAAGCGTATACAGGCCTTATCGAGGCGAGACGAGTAATTCACCAGGAACAACCAAGAGCGAAACAGAAGTGCAGAATGCCGTCCCTCTCCTAAGCCAAACAGGGGCAACAATGCACTGTTTAGCTCATTTGAAGTTTGTGACTTTTATAGTTGTTCTGTGTTGACCAAATATCTGAATTAAATTTATTATTAACCGAGCAGAGTGAGTGATTAACAGTGATGTAATTCTATTTGTTTCGAGTATGTTTAAGATCGTTTGATGTAATATTTCACACATTTCTTCATTTTGTTCCATTAAAATCCTAGAGGGTCGTCCTCGAAAAACTCCGCCGGAAATGGGTTGTATTCTTTTGCCTGAACGAAAGAGCTCAAAACTGAAAGAAGCCGAGTTGAAAGAAGCTAGTAAGGCTGCGCTCACACTCTGCGACAGCGTCCACCAGCGACCAATAGCGTCCACCAACGTTCCGAGCGTCCGACAGCGTCAGCGACTAGGAAAGTATAGATATCGATCTATTGTCTGTCAGCGTCTGCCAACGTCCACCCGACGCGCACGTCTGGGAGTGGATAGGATGAGAAGATAGGAGAGTAGCAGACAGCCGGTACCCTTCTACCGCCCCATACTATCTACACTGTGCTGCTGTTCGCTGGTGGTTGCTGGAAGAGCTGTTGAACGATGGGAGACGCTAGATCGATAGCTATATGTGCTCCCCTAGTCCTGGAGACGCTACGGTGGACGCCGGCAGACGCTAAATCGATATCTCTACTTTCCTAGTCGCTGCTGGACGCTCGGAACAGTGGTAGACGCTACTGGTCGCTGGTGGACGCTGCCGCAAAGTATGAACGCAGCCTAAAACTTTCTTCGGACTTTTTAACCAAGTTAACTGAAGCGCGTATAAGTCACTTTCAACAAAGTCTCTTTAGAAGCCCTTTACCTTCAGCTGTTGTTGTTCAAGCAAAAGATGCAGCGACCGGGAAGGGGGAGGCAAAAATCCATTAGGTTGGCCCGCAAGTAATGGCGTTTTTTCTCACACAATTTTTTAAAATGATAGTTTCTGCCATTATATTACACTGTTTGATAGATAATTTTCTGCTCTATAAGATAGTGTCGTTACCTTCCTGTTGTAAATTTTTGCCGATTTTTTTTCCATTGAAATGGAAAGTCGGGTCCACACAAAAGTGAGTATTTGACAATTAACTTTTTGCAACTTTTCTCGGCTCGCAAATTACCGAAGAATCTCGAAACATGCAAGCTATATGACCAAAGAATGATGCGTCTTATGTCAGCTTGAATTAGGTTCAAGCGATTCAGAGGTGGGAATTCGGATCTTGTAAATGTGCATCGCATTAGGGGGCCCTCTTGGAGAGAGACTGTATGCAGAACCTACCAGTAATTGACTAAATTAATTAACTCTAACGATTCAATCTCTGGCACAAATCTCCGTGAATAAGGTGATTCAGCAAGTTCTCACTCAACAGGGCGTTAAGTTCGATGGTTTTCCGTGAAGTCGGAAGTCGAAGTCTTCAAATCACTCCAACTATTGTAAACATTTCTAATTGTAAAGCCATAATCCCCCACAAATCCTATCCCGCCTCACGTGGCGTGGGGGTGAACGGTTTGGACTGTTCCAAACGTACCAATGCGGAGGGTGCCACGTCAGAGCCTGGCGAGCTTCAAATTTCTTCTCGCCGAAAACAGTAATAATTATGGGCCTCATTCCCCTGAACCTGAGGGAACCACCGACAGGGCGACGTCGGCTGGGACCGCTCGGGCGAGGCTGCAAGAATCACAGGGCCAACGGAGATTCAAGTCGCCCAGGACTAGGATGACGATCTGTACTTTCAACGCACGGACGCTTGCATCGGAAGCTCACATCGAAGATCTGATGTTGCAAGCCAGGAAGATCAAGTACGACGTCATCGGACTGACCGAGACGAGGAGGCATCGCCCGCTACACGCCGTATACGAGACTGGAGAAGAACTGTTCCTCGGAACATGCGACAGCAGAGGCGTTGGCGGTGTGGGCGTCCTCGTCAACACGCACTTGGCCATGAACATCGATTCGTACGAAAGTCTGACGACCCGAATCGGACGTTTGCGATTGAGAAGATGTGGTTCAACTCCAGCTTTGACAATCTTCGTCGCCTACGCACCAACATCAAGCTACGAGG